CCATATCTTCCTGGAGGCTCCCAGACATCACAGGGTTTAATGGCATAGATTTGGTGAGTTTTTTTTTCTTCTGCAATGTCACTCTCAGCTAAGTGTTTACCCCAACAAGGTGGCTGTGGTTTCATATGAGGACATGTCAAGGACTTCAATGGCTTCAAGATGTCTAGGATCTGCATCTTAGATTTGCCTCTCTTTAGCTTTGTGTGGACAACTATGTTGCTTCCCTGAGCCTCAATTTCTACATCTAGAAATTGAGATTGTGACAATGATCTTACAGAGTAGTAAGAGTTAAATGAGATAACACAGGCAAACTGTCTGGCACAATGCCTGAACATGGTTGGTGTTCCTTTCATCTTAGTTGAATTTAAATCATTTGTTCAGTCAGCATATTTTCTTGCACTTAACTTGATAGCTTCTAAAGGTCACCCAGGACTTTGTGAATATTTTTCCAACTGTGAGTGTGTGTTTGTGTGTGTGTGCTTGTGTGTGTCTCTTTCCCAAGGTGTCCTATTTGTCTTTGAGAGGGAAGGAAGAGAGGACCTCCATTGAGCCATGGCAACCTCTTGCAACATCTTGGGTGGAAAAGGGTTCTAGGAATTGGTGGAGAAGGAATTGGGGAGATGGGACAGCACTGCTAGAAGTTCTGGCTCCACCAAGCACAATGAAGCTAGGCACGCCAAGCCTGGGGGAAATGTGCTGTGGAATGTGTAGGCAAGGTGCCTGTTACCTGCTTCCTTGGACCCTTAGGTGACAGGGGCCTGAGGTAGGGCTTTTGGTGGAACTCAGTGGAGTCCTAGCCTTGTTTTGGTGATGGGCATTTGGCAGAAGACTTCTCACTTAACACCACTGAGGTGAGATTAAAACAGTGGCTCTCTACCCTGGCTTCCTGCCTGGTCTGGCTTGCTCTGCTACAAAGGGAATGAGACGCTCCTTCCCTAGGCGAATGCCTTTTCCTATTCCCAGATCTCTGGTGCCATTTCTCATGGCTCAGCAAGATGGAGGTGAGAGCCAATATCAAGATCATTTCCATCCTAGCTCACTTAGCCTAGGTGGACAATTTTGACTATATTAAGGTTCCTTAGGGAAGATGAGGTTTCCTTACTGTTGTCTTATAAGACTTACATATGTGTCCTCAATCACATGGGGGAAGTAGGTGGTAGTGGCAGAAGGATTAACATCTATTGATTATAATATTCATTATGAATTGGTTTTGGTCGCAAAAGGCTTTGTCAGTTATGTAGCTGTGTGATTCTGGGCTACATACAAATGGAGGTTAAGTTTCCTAATAGGTAAAATATAGAGCATAACACTTATCTCATAGCATCACTGTAGTAAGTAAATGACATAATGCATGTCAAGGACCTTGCAGAACATCTGGCATAAAGAAGTCCTAGACACACGCAAGGCCCCTGCCTTCTTCATGTTGACCCTGTGAAGTATGTTAACTTCCTTTTTTTAAGGTTCCCAAAATAATATGCTATACATAAAATACTATACAGTAGAGCTAGGAATGAAATCCAACTCTGACTCCAGGGTCTAGCATTTCTTAATGTGACTAGATCTTTCCAGCCTTAGAATTTTGAAAGGTAGCTGGGCGAGGTGACACATGCCTATAATCCCAGCACTCAAGAGGTGAGGCCAGCCTAGGCTACATAGTAAATTCAAGGGCAGCCTGGACTTCATAGTGAAAACAAAAAGAATGTGGGAAGCCTGTTTGGAACTCTTTAGAGCGTTAGTCCCTTGGGATATGAGAAGATTTTGACCCTGGGGTTGTGTAGGGTTGGGCAGTGTCTGGAAGGCAGATTCTCTGTGATTTGTGGGCTAGGGCATTAGGAGATATGAGGCAATTTGATGGGCCATTTAATTCAAGTGGCTCAGACCAGCTGCACCTAAAAGGCCAATCTTGCCCTAGAAGTGGAGATTAGAGAGCCAGAGAACAACACATGTCCTAGAACATCTATTTCGGTAGCCTCAATGCCATGGATATCTTTGCCACCTTGTGACTATGTGATACAGATATTCATTTATTCAGTGTATGTTTACTGTGCCTGACACAGTATTGCATGCTGGGGATTCAGGGATTAACAAGACATTTAATATTCCTAGTTTAGGCTGGAAGTGAAGGCACCACAAGTCATGGCAACAGAATGGCTTTAGTTTTACTTCTCACATGGCTATTGGTGGCTGCCCAAATGATCATTGAAACAGAGTGTAAATCTCCTATCGCAGCAGACCTGGAGAGAGGCAGATTTTCCTTGGTATATGCAGCAGTACAGATGGGAGATTTTCCTTTTAACTTCACTGCAAACTGTTAAGCACTGAGAGCTCTGGCTAGTGTTCAGGCTGGAATAAGTACAAGGCCGAAGAGCTTGATTTTTGCCTTGATAAGCCATCGATCATGGGTGTATTGTTTACTGAGCTAAGTGATGGGATGGGAAAGAGGGGATGATGGCCTTGGGAAACAAAATGGAGCACATAACCAGAGCTGACAGGTTGAGAATGGATCAGAGTTGTAGACATACCTCATTTGCTTACTATTTAAATATCATTAATTTTATGCCAAAATATGGGGTCCTTCTCCCACTGCTGTGCTATATCAGGCCTGGGGAGCTTTCAAGTCCAGACCCTGGGGCCAGTGGCCCAGGCACAGCTAGTGTGCAAGGAGCTGATGAATGGCGATAAAAGGCCTGGGGCGGGAGGGAGCTGGGTCTGGCTCTCTCAGCCACTGCTTCACTTTGAATGTTTTTCTTTCCTTGCTGGAAACCCCTCAAGGGAAGAACATTCTAAACACCAGGTGGAAAAATAGTCTTCAAATAAGTGAAAATAATTGGGCAAATCACTTTTCCTTCCTGGACATTGAGGAAAAGATGAAGGATCCAAGTTTGACCAACAGTTTTAACATTTGGGGCTGTGAACACTTTCCAGAGAAAAATGACCTTGCTACCACTTGTCTCGTGTACTTTTAAAAGGTTTCTAGAGCTGCTGGAGTCAGGCTTTGTACCCCTTAAATCGGAAGAGATTGGAAAATCCTTCAACTTTTACATCTTGGATTGCTGGGTATCCTGCCCTGTGAAGACCTTTTGGGAATGGGAATCCAAGAATGAGGATACATTTACATATTTTTATGGAGTTCTCACTGTTGTGCCAGTTGCTCATTTCGTCTTCATAAGAAAGGGCAGGTGGGCTGGGGATTTAGCTCAGTGGTTCTGCTGCCTGCCTCGAAAGCGCAAGGTCCTGAGTTTGATCCCTGGTACCGAAAGAAAGAAAGAAAGAAAGAAAGAAAGAAAGAAAGGGCAGGCATCGTGATTCCTCTTATTGCAGTGAGGGAACTGAGGTTCAAAGAGAGTATGAGAGTACACCTCAGGGTCACAGAGCTGGGACTCAACTCTGGCCCTTAGCATTGGAGCTATTCTCTTTCTGTAGGATTTTTGTTTCTTAGTTGGGCCAATCCAGTTATGCTCCTCCTGCCCACTACACTGGGGCTTTCCTGCTCCTACTCCACCCCATGGGGGCCTCTCTGAAATCGGGAGCTCCTGGTGGGGAATAGCTCCAGGGGAGCTGTCCTGGGCCAGGCAATGAAAGGTCCAGTATGCTCAAATGGCCTGGGAGGCCTACATTTGAACTAGTTGTGCTCTCCCCCTTCAAAGTGGAGAAAAGAATAAAGATTTTGATACAGCTCCTACATATCCTTACTCTTTTCCCTCCCTTTTCCTCTTGCTTTTCCCTAACATGCTATAAATAGTCAAGGGCAGACAAAATTCTCCTAATTCCCACCCTTCAGCTCCTTGGATGCTGGAGTTTCATGTTCAGCAGAAGGAATCAGGCTTAGGAACCCTACTCCATTTTCTATCTCTCTGGGGCAAGGACCTTTGCTGCATTAGTCAGCCTGGGACTGTTCTACAAAATTTAGAGATCTCCCAGGTACTTGCACACTGGAACAAATGCTCATTTGGAAGCTGCCTGCAGTAGTGGTTGTACCAAATGGCTCTTCTCTTTTGTGTCCTTTCCCTCATTACCCCAGGATCTGCTGCCCCTTCAGAAATTCATCCTTCTGAAGGTAAGTTCAGGTTTGGAAGGCAAAATGCTTTGCTCGCTCAGTTTCCTGGGGACAGAGCATGGCAGACTGTGAAGGGGCAAAATGGGAGATCTGGAATGAGAGACTTGGGCATGGGTAGGGGATGGGTGGCAGGCAGGGGTGGATTGATTTGCTGGTGGCTGAGGGTAAGGAGCCTCCTATGGTCACACGTCACATCATAGCTGCTTCTGAGCCATCTGAATGCCGGAGAGTTTAGTCCTCAGAGGAAATTAGACGATGTGCTTCAGTGTGTGTGTGTGTGTGTGTGTGTGTGTGTGTGTGTGTGTTCCAGGGAAATGCCTTACAAAGCTGGAGAACCATCTTCCTTCTTTTTGTCTTGTTTTATTTATTTTTTTGGTACTGGGGATTGAACTCGGGACCTTGCACTTTTGAGCCAGGCAGCAGAACCACTGAGCTAAATCCCCAGCATCTTCCTTCTTCTTAGGAGGAGAAAATAGACATTCTCATTTGAGAGTTGAGAGCCTGGTTGGTTTAGACCCTTGGGCACTAGCAGTGGCACTAATGGACAGAAGGAGAGGCATGAAGACAACAAGAACTTCAAAGGTGGATGCAGCTGGAGTTAAACAACTGCCAGGCTGCCTCTGGTTTTCATACCAGGTCTCCCTTCCCCACACATTCCCAAGCTCCATGGAAGACACAGGAAATGCTGGTGCAATGAGGGAGGAGATCTCACCCCCTCACACACACATCCTCCCATCTACATGCCCAGCTTTGTCTGCATGGGCTCTCAGGCACATGGCCAAGGTGATCCTTGATTCACCCCAGAGAACCATCTCCTATCCTGGTCTCTGACTGGTCCCACATGGCCACAGAAACTGGGAGCAAGGGTTGGTCCAGTACACTTACATTTTATAGGGGCAATAATTTAAGCAGGCAAGGAAGAGGGTGAAAACCATCATTGTTCGTCAAAAATTTTATTTTATTTTTCATTTCACACAGAATGATGTTAAAATAAATCCTCAATAATATAATTTATATACTTATTTACTTGTGTCAATATTTACAAAAGACTGTGGAGTTTTATGAAGTCAGTGTACACCCATGATCAGGTGGACAGGTAATGCTCATTGAGGCACATATGTACACATATATGTATAACCTATGTACAAATATCAGACCCTACTGACACAGGAACTCTCAGCTGCAGAAGTCCTGGGTGGGGCAGTGTTGGGGCTGAAAGCTTCCAGAATATGTCAGCAAGAATGATAATATCTATACAGCCTGTGCAATCCAGTTACAGCTGGTGTCTAAATTTTCACGAAGCAAACAAATAGTTAAATGACTCCCAACTCCCATGAGTCCTCCCCACAGTCCTGCTCCGCCTTCAGCTCCCATTGGTCCTCAGTCTCTTATCACCATGGAGACCCCAGTTCCGTTTCGGCATCATCCTTATGAAGCTTTGCCATCAGCCTTGGAATTCCTTCTCCGATTGATCCCAAGGAGGCTTATTTATCTTTCTCTTCCTCTTTGTATTTCAGCAATTATTAGAGACAGGACATGGGAGGGCAGCTGCAGAGTCATGCATGAGCAGCAAGGAAGCTAGCGAAAACTCTAATTAATCTGTGCTGCATGAGCCTAAGTGAGCGGCCATTTCCAGATTTTATATATTTATCTATAGATATAGATATCTATATATAAAATCTCTAGAGGTAGCCTATATAAGCACATATGTACACAGGTCTGGAAAAGGAAACAGCATCTCCTACTCATGAGCTTGACAGCTATGTCCCTAACAGAAACTAGAGAATCCTCCTTGATTGCTGGCACCATTAATCCCAACTGTTTCAAGATTACCCTCAGTGCAGAGAGAAGGGTGCAGGGATGCAGAAACCCAGGAAGAAGCCAATTTAGCTGGGGCATTGTTTGCTCAGCAGGCTGGAGCTCAATCATGGGACTTTCTAGCTTCCTGGAGCCCTTCAAATGAAGGAACCATTGAAGCACGACAACAAAAGGAAACTGGGTCGCTGGATCCCACGTGAAGGGAGAACTGGGGCAAGCATAGAGCATGTTCAAACTCTCAGGATCTGAGACTCACCCTTGCCAAAACCAGCCAGGCCTCTTCTTGCTTTTCTACCCGGGTCTTAGCCTGGAGCTGGTTTGCTCCTTTCTAGACCCACCTGACAGGTCAAAAATCTTTGCCTTACACTTCATTAAGCTCAAAGGCAGAAATGTCAGCAGCTGACAAAGAGAAGTTGTCTGGTACCAAAATGAGCCCCTGAGTATTCTATCTCCCAGCTCCTTCTCTCATGTTCTCTGGCAGCTTAGAGTATTTATGTATTCATATAAACAAGCCACCAGTGTCTAGAGAGTCATTTTCAAGGAGAAGTGGGGCTTAGAGACCTCTCACAAGGACTAAAAGACATAGGACTTAGTCCTCTGGGTAGCTACCAAAGGTCCTAGAACACAGTCACAACTACACTGCCCTCAATTATCTAGATGTTGCAGCAGCTGTCCACATTATTATGTAATCACACCTGCCCTGTGCATCCGTCAGTGGAATGATGCAGGGACTTCTCAGCTGCAAACTCATCTGGAACATATCTGACTATTTTAAGAGCACAGGAAGTTGTATTAGTTTCCATGCTGAGGCTCATGCAGTTTAAAAAGTGGCCACCTAGGCAGGCTGCCTCAATTGCCTTAGCTTACCAGTTGGTAATGCTAAGTCTGGTTACAGGCTTCTACTACCCAATTGTGGCTAACTTGACCAGTTTGGGGGGCTTCTGGAAGTGTGGGTTGGTGGCAGACACTTCTGCACGACATCAATTGCCTCATATACCAGTGAGCATTCCTCTTTTCCCCATCCAGTCAAATGCAGGAGGTGAGGTTGAGAGAAATGATTCCACATGAGTCTAATACACTGCCAGGCAAGATGTAGAAGGAGAGCAGGTTTCCACTCAAGTCCAGCCCCTCGAGTGGAATGATATATACAGCTCAGCCCTAAAGAGGCAACTGAATTGCAGTTGCTCTAATGCCCACACCCTCTGCTTAGATTTCTGAAGAATCAACAACAGAGTGTTTTGTTTTTTTTTCAGTTCCATTGATTGCCACAAATCTCACTTTCCATGGGCCAGATATGACCTTTAGTGCTTAATCTAAAATGTTAGTTTCAGAACTGGCACAATTCAAACTTAGGCACCACAGCTGCAGAAGAAAAAGCTTAGTAGGTAAGTCCTTTGCCAGGTCTCAAGGTTTTCACTTCCCCAGAGCTACATTTTGGCATAACCTTTCTGGTCCTCAGTGACGAGGTTACAGCCAACCAGGGCAGACAGGATAAAAGAAAAAGCACCTGGTCCTTAGATCACACTCCTCTTTTATCCCTGAGTCAGGCTGTTACCTGGGAGGGAAACGAAAGAGGTGATCCTGGAACCTATTCTTTTGTTATGAAAGAACTGCCTTCCAGAGAGGTCCCTAAGAAGAAAAAGAGAAAAACTGGAGAGGTGGAAAAATGCAAAGGAAGGTCATTTAAAAAAAATTCAAATAAATGCAGCTCATTTCTTGGATTGTCAAATTTATTCCACATTTAAGGAGATGGGAGAATGTATATTTGTATAGTTTTAAAAATAATGGCATACATGTATTATACATATATATATATATACACACAGATATATGTATATATGGAAAACCTCCAATAACTCAGGACCAATTAACCAAAACCTTAATGGACAAAAATTATGCATTCTTACTGTACTTTCAGTAGAAAGAGGCACATGACAGCAAGAGCATTATCTGATAAGTCAAGATGTGCCCAACTGACCATTTCCAGGTCTGTTTTGAAGCCAGCATCATTCAGCCTGTCTCTTTGGTCTGCTTCATCTCCATTTCTGTACATTGAGCACTGAGGTTTAGAAGGTTGACCCTGAGCAAAGCAAGGTCTGTCATCTTCAAACGCTCTACTTACTAAGGCAGGAGAGTTTATACTAACCTACTTAGGAAATATTACTTTTCAGTAACGAACAAAAGCTGAACTACACATTTTCCCATTCTCACTCAAATAACCAGAATTGCAAAGCAGCCAGGACATTCCCTTCCCTGAGGTTTCCCTGTGGGTTAAATGAGGTTTGGTTGTAGATATGTGCGTAGAGCAAGGTAGACTGAAAAAGAATGGAATGGGACCCTGGGCTTGCCAGCCTTCCCTGATTGTCCAGCCTTAATGTTTAACATCACAGATATTTCAGGAAAGGGGACTCTTCAGAAGCCCATGGTGATATGGCAAATGTTTGTGCAGCTGCACATTGCAGTGGGTGGACGGGCTTTATCGTACAAGTGTCATGCCTTAACCACCCAAACATCTGTGCTTCTATACCTCTACCCAAACCCACAAGGACCTGCCTCCCTCTACAATTCTCATCAAGTCTTGCGGCTGAACAAGTCAGCTTATTGTGAAGGAGAGTCAGAGGGTAATTCCCAAATCAGCCAAAGCTACTACAGATCCCAGGCGCAAACCTTCCAACACATTCCCTCAGTTTCCATCTCTCTGGGGAGGGAAAGAAGGGCTGCAAAAGGGTCATGTAATGGCTTTTAGTACTTGGACACGATCTCCCGTAATGGCTCAGGATGCTTTATTCTTATCTATTGGCAAGCGCTTTCCTGCAGGCTTCCATTACACCCTGCCAGACAGACTGACACAAAGTTGACCAGATGGGCTGGCACGAGGTCACTCAAAGTAAAGGTTTCAGTACCTAGAGGTTTCAAGGGTGATGTGTGAGAGTGGGCAGAAAGGGGAGGGAAAGAGGCACAGAGCCACACAGAGACAAAGGTGCACACAGGAAAGCAGCAGAGTGACAAAGAACACCTTCTCGTGGGCCTTCCTTGTGTGTGCACTGCCATCTCATATATGTCCATTCCAGAAGGAGGTCAGACTTCAGGAGACAGGAGTCCTGTGAACATGTGGGAGGAAGGAACTAGAGAGAATGAATGAACACCCAGAAGTCAAGGATATGACTTCATAATCCAAGTACTATCTATCACTTTTCAGTCCTGAGAGCAAGATTTTGAAAGAGCTATTGCTAAAGAAAACAGTCACTATTGATTTTATTGCACTTTTCTTCTTTAAAAATAATCAAACACAAATGATGAAAGATGGAGCTGAGCTTTGGTGGGAAGGAAAGCAGAAAGAAGGAAAAGGTGAACTAGGTTTAGGAACAGACTCATCCCAGTTTATGAGAGATCCCCCGCCTCCTATCTCTGCTTGCTGTGTCTTGGCAGAACAGGGCTAGACTCGGCAAGGCCAAGCCTGAGGATACAGTAATAGCCACAATAGCTACTGAGACAGCTCCCAGCATCCAATCCCTGCTGGTTGACTCAAGTAGCTAATGTTACTGAGGTCAAGGGCAAGAGTTCAAACCTGGCAATGGACACTTCCTCAAGGCAGGGGAACCTCCATTCTGCAACCCAGGAGAAACCTAGATATCACAGCTCTAACAGACAAGTCAGCCACCATTCACATGCAGGTTGGCATGACAGTAGGCTCAGAGGAGTCCTGGAGAGCAGGGCTCACTGCCATCATGCTCTGTCCTGGGTAAAGAAAGTCCAAGCACAGTGGTTTCTTTACTGCTATGAGAAGTGGTGGTGGTGGTAGCGAAGTGGAAATGATACCACCTTCATTTGCAGTTTGCACACTGTCCTGCAGTTTCCTCAGTGGGAGGTCAGCCTCCACCTCTTTTCCACTACTGCAGGCAGCAATGAACTCCAAGCCTGAGGCTTTTCAGAGGGTAATGACTTCCTTCAACATGAGTTAACACTGATACTTCATGGCCAACCACGAGGAAGGTGGCCAAAATGAGAGCTAGAGCTAGAGAGTAGATAGAACTAGTCCTACACTGGGCAACAACATGAACACTCAAGTTAGGGACTTGGAATATTAGCGCTTTCATGGGAGCATCTTTATCCTGGTTTGGGGCCCAGGATCATGCAGTTTCTTAAGTCATCACTGCTTTTTTTTTTAAGTCGTCACTGCTTTGAAGAGAATGTGGGGAATTCCGGATGCTGGGAGTTGGGAAGCCTGGGTTACTCAGCTGTCTGTGTGGACTCTTTGAAAGAAGGGTCATGGCAAAGAGATCTCTATTAGGTTTCCAGTTGCCCCAAATCCTTCCACACCTTCCACCCATGGTGCTGGTAGAAGAAAGGTGAATAGGTAGAAACTGTGTGAGATTCCTATGCTCAATGTAGTGGCCCATCATCATTCTGCTTGAAATTTCAGGGGTTACTTTTCAGGATGGAAATCAGGAGGTAAAATAAGAGACTAGAGGAAGTGATTCCTTGGAGAATACTGAAGAATACTGATTCGGGCTAGGGCAGTGGTGGTAAACCTATGGCACGCATGCCGCAGTGGGCTGTTTGTATCATTGAAGGCCCTAAAAAGTGCTCTTTTATGTGATCATTTGTTTATGCCCATTAATTTATAGATCTGGAAGCAAACCAATGTGACTATATGTCTGCATTTTGTGTACATTGTATGTTCTTGGACATGTGTGCTGTATTTTGTGTGCCTAGTATAAGTATGTACATTGTGTGTATATGCTGAGTTTGTGTGTAGAAAAATAGTAAAGTATCCTTTGTGTATTTTGTACACATTTCCATAGTTTTATGTATTTTTGATCTGGGTTTCAGGTTGTGTATTTGTATATGGAGTATGCAGGTCTTTTGTGGATGTTCTGTTGGTAAGTACATTCTATGTTTGTGCTGAGTGCATATATTTTGCATGTAGTTATCACCATCTATCTTTCATGTCTACCTTTTACATTAACTTAGCTGTATTTTGCATGTATGCTGCATGCTTTGTACTTGTGTATGGCAACAATGTATCATCTACTTTATGATGGATGTGCTTGCATGTGTGTGAACATTTTATAGTCCCAGACCAAGGATGCTCTGATATCTAGCTCCTGACCTAGGCCTCAAGTATAGGTTGCTTTAACCTTCTATTTTCTAAATGTCTGTGTCTATCCCATGTCTTGAGATTCAGCACCACTTCCCATGAGGGAGAGGAAAAGAAGCACAGAGGCTTTGTGCTGGGCATGGGATGCCCTGCAGACACCTGGGGAGGAGGGTGACCAGGAACTAATAAGCACCCTGGGCCTAGCACCCTGAGGTGGTGCCCCACCCCCAAGTCAACTGTAAGTGCTAACTAACCAACAGTGAGGCCTGTGCTGGCACCACCACTGGACAGCCTGACCACCGTAATTATCTGTGTTTGGGAAATTTAGCCACTATGTCAAAGGCAAAGAGCCCCCCAACCCATCTTAGGACCAAACTGTTCTCTACTTCTAGGCTAAGCAGTACTCTTTCATTCTTTACCTATTCTGGAGGGTGGGGGGAAATTCTTTATCCATTTTGGGGGTTATTTTTTTTAAAGGATCTCTGGTTGCCTATTTAATGGGGAAAGAGTTTGAGTCTGATGTCTTTGAATCATCTCAGGACTTCATCACTTGGTCCTGGAGTTTAGAAATTTCCACACAGAGGAGGCTCCCTTTTAAGTCCAGATCAATGGAATTTGGTCCCAGGGAGCCCTACTCCTTGGTTACAAAGCAGAGGATCCATTCTGGCTCTCTAGGGACAGGTTGTTGAAAATGAAGGATGCAGAGCCAAATGATACTGAAAATAAAATAGGACAAGAAATGATGAGAATGGAGATGAGAAACAGGAAGAAGTTTAGAGAGGAGGCCTGGGGTGGGTCTGGCCCAGGACAGCTGGAGCTGTGAGGGCCATAGGGCCCTTGTGCACTCAGTAAGACAAGCTTCAGTCATGGGAAACTGAAGCTGCAGCACATGGAGGGCAGAAAGACAATTCTAACATCTAGGAATCCATGAAGACTGGAGTGTCCGAGGCAAGAGAGCAAACCCAGGTCCAGTGGTGTTACTAGTGAGACCCATTTGGCTTCTTACACAGCCAACCCATAGAGCAATGGGTTTGCTTCTGAATCTGAACTCCAGAGAATGAATATATATATGTGTGTGTGTACATATACACACATATGCATATATATATATATATATATTCTAGTGCACATAGTTAAACACATGCATAAATTGCCCTGTGTCAAAAATATTGCATAAGCTTATATAATGTTCAAATGCAATTTTTTCTATAGCTAGCTAGGTAGAGGAACACAAGACAAAGAGAGAAAGAGAGAGAGAGATAGACAGACAGAGAGAAATAGAGACAGACAGACAGAGACAGAGAGACCCGATAGGTATTTATATACACTGGATACACAGACCTGCCTGTTCTCAAGACGGATGCCCTGGTCAGCTGTGTAGTCACACCCATCACTAAGTTAATTCCTAAGGTGCAGTCATGTGAATATCCAGACTCTACTTTTTCTGCTCTTTCTGCTGCACTGGATTCTGTGCTCTCACTGAAGGAACAGAGATGGGTGGGCTGAAAGGCCAGGAGTTTTGGTTCCTTATTCGAAATAGTCTATTTTTTCTCCTGGTGGAGGGCTTTTGCATTCTGATGGGGAAAAAACCCTAGTTCAATGATATCCCAAGGCTATTAATACTCTAAATATGAATACTGTATAGGCTACTAAGAAAATAGGATATCTCCTGTGTTTTAAATATTGAGATTCATGCAATGAACACCCATGCAGCTCAATTGCATCACTGGTAAATTTCACTGCAGTGTCAGTGTAGCTGGGCCACATCATTAGGAAAGCAGGTGCCTGCAAACTCCAGTGTAAATAAAGAAATCAGACATGTTTTCGTGACCCCGTAGCTTGCAAAAATGATGAAATGTGAAGCTGAGCAGTTCCTTGCTCGGGTAGCTTCTCCTTGTAGGTCTTAAGGGAACAAATGTGAAACTTGACAACTCCTATTCAGTCATACTAACTGTCCCTCCCCCAGGTTTCCCTCACATCGACACTGCAGAGAAAAAGCAGAATGCAGCATTTTCAGTTATGAAACACAAGGCTCCGAAGCATCTACTTGGCAACTGCAATTCACAAACCCCAGCCTGTAACATAGAAAAGTAATTCCAACACACAGGACTGTGTGTTCTTTTCAATGCAAAAATGGAAATGACCTTTTGAGTAATCACCAGAGCTTTAAAACTAAGCCATGATGGTGTCCTTGTGCAGAGGCAGGTGGGCTCAAGTGGGGTGGTAGTGAGGGGAGAGGTCTTGTGTGTGTTTAATCAGGAAGACAAGGTGGTGCTGATATAGCAAATTGTGTATTGGATATGAAGTGGCCTCAATGTGTCTCTGACATCCTGGTTCCACAGATAACTCTCATCTTTGGAAACCCATAAGTCAAATATAAAGATTTGCATGAAAGCCATGATAGATACTCTGTGTTCTAAATCAAAAATCAAAAGATCAAAAGTCACTTGCACGACTATTGCTTTCCATGCAGAACCAGATGCACACTGTAGAACACACTGACTACAATACAGGCTATTATGCAACATCTGTATTAGTTCCATTGAGCTGTGATTATGTTAATAGGCTTCAATCAGACATCAGTTAACATTTTGGTAATATTCACATAGTTTGTGTTAGCCAAGGTGCAGTTGGCTGTTTTCAAGTTTTCCTCTCTAAAGTCCTCATTACTGTTGTTTACTCCCTCCTGGATCTCCATGTAATCAGACTTACTAATAGTAGAGGCACTTCTACTTTTCTTCAGGTCAGGGGAGGAAGGGATCTTTGGACAGCTTGTAACTTGTAAGTACTGGGCCTGCTCCTCTCCCTCGGTCTCCCGGTGGTAGAAGTAGTTGAAATTGGACACTATGACAGGGACTGGTAAGGCAATGGTTAACACACCTGCAATTGCGCACAGCGAACCCACTATCTTTCCCCCAATGGTAGTTGGCACCATGTCTCCATAGCCTACAGTTGTCATGGAGACGACTGCCCACCAGAAGGCATCTGGGATGCTGGGGAACTGGGACTCTCGCTCATCAGCTTCTGCAAAATAGACAGCACTAGAGAAAAGGATGACCCCAATGAAAAGGAAGAATATCAGGAGGCCCAATTCTCTCATGCTGGCTTTGAGGGTCTGACCTAGAATCTGGAGACCTTTCGAGTGTCTGGACAACTTGAAAATCCTAAAGACTCTTACCAACCGGATGACACGAAGGATGGCCAGTGACATGGCCTGCTGGCCTTGTTGGGCATCCTCTGGCTTCTCAGCCAGCTCTGTCCCCAGGGTGATGAAGTAGGGGATAATGGCCACAATGTCAATGATGTTCATGATGTTGGTGAAGAAGCCGGCTTTGCTGGGACAGGCAAAGAACCTCACCAAAAACTCAAAGGAGAACCAGATGATGCAGAGAGTCTCTACAATGAAGAAAGGGTCAGTGAAGGAAGTGGATTGCTGATACCCCATGGTGCTATTGGAGTAGGTGTGGAAGGTCACCCCACCACCATGCATGTCTTCATTCTCATCCCGGAAGATAGGCAATGTTTCCAGACAGAAGCTGACAATTGAGATCAGAATCACCATGACAGATACAATGGCTATAATCCTGGCAGGCCCTGAGCTCTCTGGATATTCAAAGAGAAGCCACACCTGTCTCTGGAACTCATTTTCTGGCAGAGGACGCTCTTCCTCCTTGATGTAGCCTTCATCCTCCCGAAACATCTCCATAGCTTCTTCTCCCAGTTCATAAAACCGGATTTCTTCCGAGAATATATCTAAGGGCACATTCACCGGTCGCCTCAGCCGGCCCCCAGACTGGTAGTAGTACAAAATGGCATCAAAGCTAGGGCGGTTGCGATCGAAAAAGTACTCATTCCGGAGGGGATCAAAGTACCTCATTCGCTTCTTGGGATCCCCTAAGAGGGTCTCTGGAAACTGCGCTAAGGTCTTGAGCTGGGTTTCAAACCGAAGCCCTGAGATGTTGATCACCACCCTTTCACAGCACTCATGGTCTGCCTCTGGGTCATAGGTGTCCTGTGGATGCCCAGGGAGGGCAGCAGCCTCATCTGCTGGGTCTCCGGTGGCCACTGTCATAATTAGGGCTGAGAGGAGAGCTTCACACTATGCCTTCCAGCCGCCTGGTGGCAGTGGGGCTCAGGATGCTGCTAAAGGCCCCAGGAAACGCAGTAGCATTGGCCTGAACTCCTGCACAGGAGAGCCCCACAGCTCTCTTGACAGCTGGAGAGACAGCCTCGCTTGGCTGAAAGACAGGCAATTAAGGACATGAGACCACCCAGCAGTGGCAGCCAGATGTGGGAGGCCAATTACTGCCTTCCATCTCTCAGCCAAGAGTTCAAAAGCATGACTATCATTACACTTCCACAACCACCAAGAAGCAGAATTTACTGTCACCTTGTAAATTGTCTGGGGGTCAGAGGGGAGCAGGCAACAATCTCAGAAGGAAGCTCTGGAATTTCCTGCACTGGAGGCAGGTGGCTGGTACAGGATCCTGGGACACAGGGTCACAGCCATACTAGGAGGCTAGACAGAAGTCCTCTCCCAGGCAGTGCATTAACATCTCACACGTACCCGTACCCTTTAACACATTCATGACGGGGGATTTAGACCTGGGTCTTCCTCAATGATCCCACCCCAATGCCTCTACTCATGGCTGTTATTAAACTATAGATTGCTTTACCTGGCCAGGCAGGAACCTGAGGCTCTCTTCCTCACAGAACTGATCAGATGCTGGGGAATCCTAGATGCACAAATAGGCAGCCCAACTCCCCATCGTGTCTTCTCACTTGAGCTAGAAATAATGGTGAGTCATTCTGAGCAGTAGGACAGGCTCCAGGTCCTGGAGGTGAGCTCGCTTGGGCTGAACTGGACTGCAGGGGCAGTGGGGTGCCTGACCAGGGGCATGCGGGACTCCAGAACAGTGCTGCCTGGGTCAGGAGGCTTTGGAAGGATGGAGGCAAGATGCACAGCTCAGCAAATGCCAGAGTCCTCCAGGCTGTCCTCAGGAGGTGTGACGTTGCCTGGAAAACACAACAGCAAGGTGGAATCACGGCTTTGAGAAGCTGGGGCCAAGAATGAGGAGAGCTCTGGCAGCTCCCCTCACTGCAGATGGTAAGGCCCCCTGTCCACCCTCCATTCTGGCACTGGTGTCTGAGAACTACCCCTCAGCCTCCCAACCTCTTTTGGGCAGGCTTCCTTCTCATCAGCTTTTTCCCAGGGAACAAGCCTTCAGGCTTGGCTGGTCTGTCTCAAGAGGCCTCCCTGGGCTAATTCAGAACGGTCCTCCTCCAGCTGCCACCAGGAGGGATTCTGGGCAAATCCCCCCCTCAGCCCCCTATATTAGGACATACACCTCCCAAGGGGAGGGCTTGGCTTTCTGCAGCCTGACTACAAACTCTGACCTCAGCTGAGTCCTGGTAGAAGAAGCGCCTCCTCCAGTCACCCAACACACACTCCTTGAGGGCTCATCTAGGGAGACCCCACATGCAGCAAGGTCGCGTCTCCGTTCTAAAGCTGGATGGCTGAGTCGCTGAACTTACTCTCCCTCCGGGATCCCTGGGCCGCAGGCCTCCTTCTGAGCTGGGTGGCATTTGAGCCAGGCAGTCGCTGGACCACTGATTTCTCCCCAAGAGAAAACCCCTCACATCTCCGCGGCAGGAGCGCAGAACAAACACTCAGCCTGCTTGGCTGTGAGGCTGTTTGGCAGCAGCGAAAGGGGGAGCTAGGAGGAAGCTGGCTTCCTGGCTGGCCCCCTGCCGGCCCAAGCCAGCTGGCCGCAGGGCGGGGAGGGGTCTCAGCCCTTTCCCCGTCACCGGGGGCTCCAGCCAGGATCGCCCGGCGCGGGCACGCTCCGCGAGGCGCTGGGCTGTGAGAGGCGGGCCCGACCCTCCAGCTGGCGGCCAGCTAGAGCGCCACCTTAACCCCTTCCTGTCCAACGCGGTCGGCTCCCGCTGAGGGTCCGAGTGCAGCCTGAGTTTTTGCCCGCCAAAGGACAGAGGAGGCTCCGTTTCCACCCGAAAAAATAGGAACCTGAACTCTGGGGGTTGGGAGTAGGTTGCTCCCCGCTGTTGCCCCAGATCTCAGCTTCCTCCTAAACTTAAGAGTTTTTGCGGCAGCCCACAGCTCAGGCTAAGGGGGACAGCTCCTTTCTGCCCCAGAGCTGATTTTATTCGGTGCCAGAGAAGCGAATGCGGCCCGGCAGACCAAGTGATTCGGGTTCCACCAACCCGAGCTATTTACCAGACATGGTTATGCTGTCAGCTGTATTTCCTAGCTCCTCTCTGCGCCCTCCGCCCCGCGCCATGCACACCCAAAGGGTCTCCGCGCCCACTCCGTGCGCTCCCTTCTGCAGAAGCAAGCTCCCCGGCCCCGGGAGATAGCAGAGGTCCGCCCGCCCCGGGCAGCCGAGCCCTCCGCGTTGCAGGCTGCGCTGCCAGGTATCCTGCAGCCCCCCCCCCCCCCCCCCCCCCCCCCCCCGCCCCGGACGCCGCAGCCGAGCAAGAGAGACAGCACGCGCAACCCCACGGCCCCGACACGGATTTACCCTTCCGGACCCTCACCCGGAGCCTCCATGTTTCTGGGTGACAGCCAGCGCCCGCGGAGCCCCAGCAGCGGGAGGCGGCGGTGGCGGCGGTGGCGGCGGCGGCGGCAGGGTGCAGGCGGCCAGCCGGGAGCCGGCTCTGCAGTCCCGCGGGCGGCGCGTACGGAGCGCCCGACCGCCACCCGCAGCCGCACCGCGCCGCACCGCACCACGCAGCGCCGCACCTGGCCCGGCTGCGAACTCGAATTAAAGGGGCTGGTGGGGGCCGGAGACGGCCAGGCGAGCCCCTCGTTGCCACCAACGAGGGGTCGTCCAGTTGGAGTCCTGGGCCTCAGCCCCCACCCCGTGAGGAAAACACTCATTCTTTGGCGAGCCCAGTTAACTAACCAGAGCAGCGTGCAGAGCTCAGCTGGGTGCTGCCGGGGCTGCAAGAGATGGGGAGGACAGAAGTTGAGGAGCTCTCAGGAAAGGATCCTGCCAACATAAAGAAAACAATCAAATAGCAGCTCTCCCAGCCCCTAGGCAGGATCCAGCCCCTCAGGAGGTGTGCTGCTATTACTAGGATGCTGAAGGACAGGATCTGTAGACCCCAGACCCGCTCTCTGGCCCCTCTCGCGCTGCGCCTCCTCCTCCAGCTCTGCTTTCCAGTTGGCTCTTACCTAGCAAAGATGCATCCTCTCAGGGGAGTCCAGCAGGTTCTGGCCAGGCAGCAGTGGGGCAGAAACTTGCCTCGGGTCTGGAGGAGCTGCAGGATCAGCAGAACCGTAGGGCCACAGGGCCTGCCCTCTGCCTTCCTAACTCCCCCCACCTCCACCCCGGGGCCCTGGCTAGGGAAGGCCCAGGACACAAAGCTGCCCTTGGGAAGAAGGGCCTGCTACTCACAAAACGCCCTTGCACAGATCTGACAAAACTGACTGGCTGTCCCACCGGGCTGGGAACTGCACTAATGCAGCTCACCGTACCTGGGGTTGGGCAGAGTAGGAGGCATTTGGCTTTTGGGAGAATGTTTGTAGGAAATCCATCTTGCCCTTGCCTTAGATGGTAGATCCCAGATGCCCAGTTTGCTTTGTGAAGCCACATGACATCCCCAGGTCCCTGCTAGTTCTGTTCTTCAGCCCCTGTCAGAATCTCCCAGACATGTGTTCCAAACAGTGACTCCTTGATATCAGACCCAAGTAGACACAAAACTCTCAGGTTCAAAAGGGCTCTAGTGTGCAGAAGGCTCCTGCTGGGCCCTCCTTGCTCTCGAGACCCCCTCTGCAGACCGGTGCCTCATGATGAGAGCTCTGAGAGCCCACAAGGCTCTGTGGATTTCTGTGGAGTTCAGGGAGAATGAATAATTATTCTAACTGGTGGCGTGGCATCATGGTGGTCTACGACTGTGGGGTCCCCCTCCCCCAGAGCTGCAGGGCGTAGGCTGGGAAGATAGTGGCCTCAGTGAGCTTGGAGAGTAATTGATGACTACAGGAGAGGGCTGTTTAGGAGCCAGCCAGACCCAGACTTCAATCTGTCCCAGTTCTTTTTTTTTTTTGGTACCGGGGATCGAACTCGGGTCCTTGTGCTTGCGAGGCAGGCGGCAGAACCACTGAGCTAAATCCCCGGCCCAATCTGTCCCATTTCTTAGGTGAGTTGTTGTCCTACAAAGTGAGGCTAACTCTCAGAGTGTGACAAGGGTTAAATTATTGGATGTTAAAAGTTTAGTACCAACAGACTGTCAATGACCTCTCCAATCTGCAGCCCTGTGAGTTCTCTTCCTAACTCCTAGCCTCCATTTATCTTTCTCTCTGTGCCCCATCATTTGGTCCTTGTTGTCCATTCTGTCTGTTTTCATTCCTTTTGCTGAGGTCTCAGCCAGTCTCAGTCCCTTCATGAAAAAGTCCTCCAGAACCTGCCTCTGCACTCGTTCTCAAAGCCTCCCCAGATTGCACTGAGGGGCTCTGTTCTCTTGCTTGCCACACTGGTGAACACTTTCATGCTCACTAAAGTCCAACACAGTCTCATCCTTGTTATCATATTTATATGGATTTTTTACTTTCTTTGTCAAAACAGAAGATGCAGACAGAAAAAGGCTCTTGAGGGAGAATTAATAATTATTCTAAATCATGGCATGTGCTTACCAGGTGTTAGATACTGTGCTAAGCACTTCTAATCCAGTGCAATATTTAATCCTCACAGCTCTAAGATGTGGTGTCTACATCAGCACCATTTTATGGAAAAGGAAACTGAGGCAGGGGAAAGTAACCTGCCCAAGGTTAATAAGTGATGGCTCTAGGATTTGAATTAGGTCTTTGTGACTCCACAGGGCTTGTATCCTTTAACCCCCACAGCAGTCTGGGCTTGTGAATAAGCAGCCTTGGAATTTCTTCCTGCTCTGTGGTCTTCCTCTGACCTCTGGTACTATCTTCTCATTTGGCCTCAGGGGTATGTCATCCTTCCTCTCCCTTTTAAAGTCTGACCTAAGTGTGAATAAGTATAAAAAAGACATTCATTAGAGAAGGAAAAGGAGGAGGAGTAGGAAAAGGGGGGAAGAGGAGGAAGGAGAGGAGGAAGAAGAGAACAAAGAGGAGGAGGAAGAGGGGAAGAAAGAACCATAACAACAGTTTTGAGTATTTCAGGTTTGTGTCCCGAAAGGCACCTCTGTTGCTATGTTGGCTTGGCAGTGCAAAAAAATGTAATGAACTGGTGAGAAAAAGAGCATGGGGTCGGTTTCCAGCCCTGACACTTGAGCAAGGTGTGAGAACTTGAGAACATTTTTGAAATTCTCCGAGTCTGGGGTTCCTAATCCGTCAAATGGGAGAGCAAAGCTTCTTCACAAAGTAGCAAGGATTAGATTAGTTACACGGAGTGGCCAACCTGCTAACTTAGCCTACCCGTTAAACTAGCCGGTTGGCCACTCAGTATAGGCTAAGTTAGCAGGTGTTTACTTATGAGCTCTCTTTCCAGTCCTATAGAGGTCATCATTTCTTATTTTTGGCTCCAAAAGAACAGCCCAAGTGTCCTACCATCTTTTCTCTGGGGAAGGATGAGTGGGCCAAAGACCATTCCCTTCTCTTTTGGCTTCCTACTTGGGGGCTGGGGCCTGCCTTCTGTAGAGGAAAGGGCTGTGGTGACTGCCACAATGAGTACAGGTGACTACAGTCATCTAAAAGAGGAGTTTATCACAGGGGTGCTCACTCACACCCACACAGAGGGACAGGCTGAGGGAAGCACTCTCTCAGATCCCTCCCACCGCTCTTTATGAACCCAGAAAGATTATACAAATCTGTCACTGGGTATCACTCCCAGGGATTGGCTCACCTTCCTCACATGACCACCACTTCTTGATGCTCCCACTAACTCATTCCCTTGGGTGATAGCACAGTTTCTCAAGCCCATGGGCAAGCAGGGCAGGAGGGCACTGGCTGACAGGCCTGTACAGGTTATTTGTTCTAACACTTGCAGACACTCAGAAGAAAAACTATCATTGTTTCTATTTTACAGATGACGATTCTGAAGCTCAGAGTGGACTGGTCATTGACAAGGGTAACTTAGCTGGTAAATGGTGAGGTTGGGAACAAATTCAAGATTGTGTAACTTAGTTCCGAGTTCGATCCTGATACCAAAAAAAAAAAAAAAAAAAGAAAGAAAGGTCAAGGATTTAGCTCAGTGGTGCCACTGCCTGCCTCGCAAGCACAAGGTACCGAGTTCGATCACTGGCACCAAAAACAAAAACAAAAAAATCCTTAAATTTCAAGATTGTGTAATTTGGCAAATCACTATGTCATTCTTTTAGCCAGGTGCCAAGCCTCCGGGGCTCAATTCCTAGTATCAGGGACATGGATTCAGTCTGGCAGACCTCAAAGACCCCCAAGGGACATCCACCTGGCCTGTGGAGAGAGTCCAACCTGCTAGGTGATCTGTTTTAGAGGGGGGCAGTTCTGGTGTTGGTTGTTAACTGTTCACACATTAACTCAGGGGCTCCAGACAGTGGTTGCAAGATTCTGGACCCAGAATTTCTGCTCTGTGCTGGTTCCCTGAGCAGCTCTACTAATGTTTCTCTCATCTGTAGAGCTCCAGGCTAAGCACTGCTGGCCTGGTGTTAAGGAAGTACAAAGCATAGCACCTGATTGGGGCTGTGTTCTCAGTTTCAGCCTTAATGTGTAAAGCTCTGTGACCCAACAGTATTCCTGTGAGTTTTCTGTGTAAGAGCTCACTTGTGAAATAGAAAGGATTGCATTCTCTCTTCCCTTTGCTCATAGGGTGCAAAGAATGAAATGGAGGATGGAAGGAAAGAGACTTTCATTGTTAGTGTCATTTGCCATTCATTTGTCAGGATTACAGAGGATGACACACATGATTGTGCTGGCCAGTGTGGGTGAATATACCACAAACATTATTGCTGTTGCAGCAACTGTGATTGTATCTTACCAGTATGTACCATGCTTGCCACTGGAGAACTTTTCTTAGAAGTGGAATGAGCATCCATCCAGGCCCCCTACTGACCCTGGAAGTCTGCTACATAACTCAGAAGTCAAGCCTCCTGCAGGAAGTATTCTAGATTCACTCCAGCTGCCTCCAAGGGGCTCTGGTATGGAGGTTGAGCCTTGGCTCCTGCCCTGCCCTGAGCTGGCTCTTCCACACTGCACTGCCAATACTGGGTGAATGTTAAGGAATGGTTGAAGAGGGTGGCCCCCTCTTGCATGCTGGACTGCTGTTGAGTGTAAGCACTGTGTTGTTTCAGGATTTTAAGAGACAGGAGAGACCAACGAGTAATACAGGAAGATTTATTTCAGGTTT